TTATCGTTTGGCATTTGCAATTGTCCAAATAAGGTATCTTCATTTTCATTATTATATAAAATAAAAATAAATCAACGAAATTATACCCACGCCTATTAGTCCAATTAACTAAGCCTTTAAATCGAAATTTTGTCAACTTGGCTGAATTTTTGATATGAGTTAGTTTAAGGTTTATTATAACAATAAGTGAGAGTAATTTTTTGTTCAACCCCCGGCCAAGGGTGGAAAAAGATAAAACAAAGGGCTTTTTCAAGATAACTCACAAAGGGTAAGAGCTAGAAAAAAAAGTTCTACAATTCTACATAAAAATGGTCTCTTAGCTTTTTCTTGTACTATTAAAATTAACAGAGTTAGGGAGGCTAGAAGTTAAGGGAAGATTTCAGAAATTTAATTTTGTTAAATCATTAAAATTAACGATTAAAAATTTGATTTTTTGTTATAACTTTCTTATTAAAAATTAAAAAATATATCTATTTCTCTGAAAAGAAAAGTTACATATTTTAGAGCAGATTGAAAAAAAAATTACAAAATTCAATCATTTTTCTGTTTGTTATGATTTTTTTTAAATTTCTGAAATCTTCCCTTAACTTCTAGCCTCCCTAACTCTGTTAATTGTAATAGTACAAGAAAAAGTTAAGAGGCCATTTTTATGTAGAATTGTCTGCTTTACAACTTTCATGAAAAACTTTTTTTTCTAGCTCTTACCCTTTTTGAGTTATCTTGAAAAAGCACTTTGTTTTATCTTTTTCCACCCTTGGCCGGGGGTTGAACAAAAAATTACTCTCACTTATTGTTATAATATACCTTAAACTAACTCATATCAAAAATTCAGCCAAGTTGGCAAAATTTCGATTTAAAGGCTTAGTTAATTGGACTATATGATTGCAATTATTACTACCCGTTGTCGTTACTCGCCTGAACGAACGCCAAAGCCGTCTTTTTCGCTGGAAGGCGGGGCATAAACGCTGCGCGACGGAATCGACGCTAACCGTTCCTGCCAAGTCAGTTGAAGAGCTGTATAAGCTGTGACAAAACCTCCAGATAAGACGGCCGAGAGGATGGATGAGACAATCGAATATCACCGCATAAAAAAGATGTGCAGTAATTTTATGAGTGGCATCGCACGGTTTTGAAGGGCGGTTTAGAAAGGAGCTTTATTTAGCGAGGATAGGAATTCATATGAATTAAAATAATACAAAAATTATGTTTTCTATGTAATAATTTTTTTTTCAAAAACCCTAACAATGGATCCTTTAGGCGGCGACTACATTTAAACACTTGCTGCTGAACCACTCAACTGACAACGAAGAAATGCCGCAATCCGCGAGTCATTCATTTACCTAGCGTCAACATGTTTCGCATATAATTTGGGATAGGTCGGATATTTTCGAAGTGGATTTTCGATTATATATCATTCGATTATAAAATTAATTCGAACGGTAACCTCTCGATTATTTAATTCATTCGATTATTCCCATCACTATTAAAGAGAGTAAATAAATTCCTGATTTTGTTGATGGTGGCTGACCATTATTTAGTGGAATTCTAGGTATCAAGGCTTCTAAAAGAGCATTTTCAGTTATTAAACGTTGTATATTTTGGACATGGTCAAGTAGATATTTGATATTCTGGAAAACCGCAATTCGTTAGATGCTTATTTTAACACTTTATTTTTCTTTCGAAAATTCTCAAGATTACTTGATCTTCAGTGAGTGCTCTTCTAGCGATTCTACCACAACGTATGTAATGGGTTATGACTACCAGTTTCAATAATAATATGAATTGGTAGTTTTTCAATTTATCTATCAATTGAACAACTAAGAGGATGACAGTATGTACCAGATTCGGTCGCTGACGCAGTAACTTGGCATTGAAATATTTGAAAAACTTGTTCCCATATTTATTTTGCCATACCCAATACCCATATAAAGGTCTGGTCGAACTAAACGTGGAGGTGGTAGAAATGTATACGCCCAATTGAAGAATGCGAGCGCGGGCAAAAGAAACACAAATACAGTTGCATTGGGCCACTGGGCAATAAATCTCAGCCGTTGACAAGTGGTTGCCAAATTACCCAGCAGTGCAGTGCAGCAATGCGGAATTTGGTATGATTCAGGTAATTTTAATTTAGTATAGGCACCTTCTATTAATCATTGATATTACAATTGCGAAAGGGAGAAAAAATATTATTATAACATGGCATTTTGGAAACTTTTTGAAACTAACAAATCGAAATTTGCCGTCAATATATTAAAATTGTTTGAGGACATCAATAATTAACATATGTTGTTTGGCATAATAAATATAAGAAATTTTCTGCACATTATAATTTTTTACCTTTATCCAAAAATCTTTTTAGGGGCGCCTATGAAACTCATTAAATTTTATCGCCAGGTGTTTTTTTTTACATGTTCAACTGACTTCGGAAAGACTATACACAATGCATTTGAAAACTAAACATTTTACATAACAAATACACTACTCAAAACAATTTCTAACTTAAATGGTCTTTGTAAAAACTCACTATTAGTCCAATTAACTAAGCCTTTAAATCGAAATTTTGTCAACTTGGCTGAATTTTTGATATGAGTTAGTTTAAGGTATATTATAACAATAAGTGAGAGTAATTTTTTGTTCAACCCCCGGCCAAGGGTGGAAAAAGATAAAACAAAGGGCTTTTTCAAGATAACTCAAAAAGGGTAAGAGCTAGAAAAAAAAGTTTTTCATGAAAGTTGTAAAGCAGACAATTCTACATAAAAATGGTCTCTTAGCTTTTTCTTGTACTATTAAAATTAACAGAGTTAGGGAGGCTAGAAGTTAAGGGAAGATTTCAGAAATTTAATTTTGTTAAATCATTAAAATTAACGATTAAAAATTTGATTTTTTGTTATAACTTTCTTATTAAAAATTAAAAAATATATCTATTTCTCTGAAAAGAAAAGTTACATATTTTAGAGCAGATTGAAAAAAAAAATTACAAAATTCAATCATTTTTCTGTTTGTTATGATTTTTTTTAAATTTCTGAAATCTTCCCTTAACTTCTAGCCTCCCTAACTCTGTTAATTGTAATAGTACAAGAAAAAGTTAAGAGGCCATTTTTATGTAGAATTGTCTGCTTTACAACTTTCATGAAAAACTTTTTTTTCTAGCTCTTACCCTTTTTGAGTTATCTTGAAAAAGCCCTTTGTTTTATCTTTTTCCACCCTTGGCCGGGGGTTGAACAAAAAATTACTCTCACTTATTGTTATAATATACCTTAAACTAACTCATATCAAAAATTCAGCCAAGTTGACAAAATTTCGATTTAAAGGCTTAGTTAATTGGACTATATGCCATCCTAGAAAATTTGTTTAGCAAACAATTGGATATAGAAATGAAAAAATGCCCTCTGCAGTCACGATTTATATTGTTTATTGGCCTCCTTGAAGTGACTGGTCACTGAAAACTTCATTACGTTTTCTTTTTACAAAAAAGAGTGTTACATTATAAAATCTATTTATTTAATTGCAACATTTAAGGCCTTTTATTAGAATACAGGGCGTCTCCAATTACATACGTCAAACTTCACCTGGTGATAGAGAACCTTAATAAGAAAAGTCTTAATTTTTGGGATATAGAATGTTGAAATCTAAAAGATAACTAATATGTCAACCAGTGGCAGAGATGCAGGGAGATATTGTCACTATGAATCCCAGACTTCCATGCCACTGAATATTTTAGAAATTGGATAAGTGCATTTAATTCCAACGGGTATTTCTAAGAAAAAAATATGGCTTCCATTTTATTTAAAAAACGATCATTATTGAGCAATTATTTTCTTAAATTTAAAATAAGTCTTAGACATAGTTGAATAAGCTGAAAATAACTCCAAAACTATTCGTTTTACAAAAAATATATTTTTTTTTATTAAAAATACAATACAAATTACAATTAAACCATAAGCTAAAAAAGTCAAAAAAGTCATTGGCATAGCAAATTTAAATTTTTTTAGGGGTTATCATTCTGTTAGCGAGTGGGGTGTGGGTTGAGGAAAATGTGGAACAAAAATAAATGAATTTTGAGATTACCTGATATTCCCGGAGAGCGTCTTCTTCAAAGGGGTCCCTTGATGACTCTCTAGAGCTCTTCCGGAGCAGGTGGTATGAGGTGAACTGTATGGGTGAGGAGGCGGAAACGCTGATGCGGAAATTTCAAACAGAAAAATATTATGTGCCACTACTAAAACGAGGATATCTACCGGCGACTCAATTAAGACTACTTAAACAGCAGACTCAGCACGTCAGTGCCCTCTGGCGAACAGAGTATCAAAAAAGTAAAAAATAATAATAATGAGGAGCGTGAACACATTCCACAGAAAGTTTCTACACATTTTCTTTTCGACGTTTCATAATTACATTTTTTTTTTTTTGTGAAAGGAATAGTGTAGCAGTTATTTTAGATTTATTGAAACAGGTCAAAGGTTTATTTTAATTTAAAAAAAACAAGTGGCTCACTCTAAATAAAAGAAGATATTTTTTTGTTATTAGAAACACCAAATAGAATTAAATTAATTTTGAGTTTTTGGAAACATATTACGCAGCACCCTATCTCCATCACTGATTGATAGATTTGTGTCATCTCAGCAAAATTTTGCCCATAGTTAGTTCATTATCTCAAATTTCACCAAGTGAAACATTTAAATAAATGTGATTTTTTGTAATTTCAACACTATATCTAAAAATTTAAATATACATCAATAAATTTTTATTTTTATTATTTCGAGATGTTTCGTCATCAAGAAAAGTTTGATTACTTGCACTCAAAAAAAAAAAAAAATCGTGACAAGTAGAATGAGTTTTACCTCTAATGCAATAATGATTGTCTAATATTTTGCAAACTTTGTCATCAACAAAGAAAAATTCTTACCTGTATTAAATGTAGATGTATGTATGTATGTAAATAGTGTCCTTGAAATAACTGCCATTTCTCCTCCATTGAAGGTACGTAATAACAAGAAAACTTGGTTCAATTATTTTTATTAAGCAACTTTACAGTAAAGCCTCTCGTAGTCTGTACAGGCAGTAATTTTCTACAAATATTTGTAAACGTTACTTATTAAAATTTTGAACGGTGTATTTTTTATCACAACGTAAATAAAATTAAAAATAGATTAGAATATAAATATACATTTATTTAAAAAAAGAATTATAACAAAAATTTAGCCTAATATACACAAGCTTTGCATGTACAAATTAAAATGGGCCATGCAAATTTATAAAAGAGATTTGCCATGTGATATTTACAGAATATTACAAGATGTACAGACTGCAATTGTTTTAAGTAAAAAAAAATTGTTTATAATTATACATCATTCCACTAAAACTGGAACGGAGTATTTAATAAAAATAAAAAGTTATATCTAATCTTATTAATTTTTTCATATAATAATAAAAGAAGACAGATTTACATTAAAAAATACACAGTACCTAATAGGTCAAGTATCAGTCTACTACAAAGTATTTAACTATTTTATGACTTTAAAAGACATTATGCCTTTACACTATTTACATTGAAAATAATCATTTACAACACGCTTGCATTGCAATCGCAAAACAGCTGTGGATCTAGAAACAAAGTCAATGGGATACAACAGCGGTGCACACTAGTTAACAAGACACAACTATGGAATGCATTAGTCACTACAACACTGCTCCTTCAGTCTGGGCACTCATTTGGTTGGGTACGGGTTAATCACTGTCACAGCTGCTGCCTGTTGACTCGCCAATACTGCGGCTAAAAAAAATAAACCCAATCATTTATTGTAATTTTACTTGTAAATTCAAATGTTGACTGTGGCAAACTATAAGAGACAAATTTAGATTGAGATTCTACTCATGAAAAAATAATAGTACAAGTTTATGACACTTTCAACAACTCGATACAGACTGGCATTTGGCAGATTTTTTTTCAAAAACTTTAGTAGTACCTACATTTATAAATTCTAAAGTACATACATATTTTACAAAAATTACAGCAAAAAACTTTTACTAATATTTTTCAAAAAATGCGCCCTTTGAATTTTTTGAGTGAAATTATTGTTAAATATTTTTTGTAAAAAAAAACTTCAATAGCAGCTTTCCAAGGGGGTGTTTGCATAAAAAAGTGTATAATAGTGTTTTATCACTGAATATTTTACAATGAGTTAATACTTACAAACTATGCAAGCAATTTTGTTAATAACTTTGTAGACAAATTTTTATTTGATTTAAAAAAAAAATTATTTCAATTTTATGGCATCGCTACTGATTTGTAATGTGCTAGATTATTTGTGTAACAAATCTTCCTTTCTCTATTAGTAATTAAAAAAAAAGTAGTATCAGATTTTAGTTAAGCTTCCTCTTAGCAGATGGTGCAATCAAAACCTTGTCTAAGATGATTTACATTTTTTTTTAATAGTAGTTAAATAACGATATTTTGCAAAAATAAAAAATATGGGTCCAGTTTTTTGACACATTATTTTATTTTATGGTAATATCTGAACAAGTGGCAAACACCCCATTGTCTGCAAAGTGCTTCTGCAGTATTCTTTTGCTGTGTTACTAATATGTACTCTAAACTTAAACAAATTATTCAGGCTTATTAGGAGGTAAAAAGTGAATCGGAAGTGTTTCTGAGGCATACACAGCTTATTGACACATTGTTAACGTCAAAATATAGTGATTAGGCCAAACATGCCTTAATCAATTGTTGCTCCTTTTCGTTCTACAGGGTGTTTAAGTTGAAAATATATTTTTGATTTCTTACTATATTTTATGTATAAATGGACCGATTGTTTTGATAATTTGTAGCTTTACGTTTTTTCAGGGGGCAAATACGAATATGCAAACAACGTCGGGGGCGCTAGATATACTGTCCCTCAATGTAAAAATATGTCTAACTTTTTGTATTTTACAATTTTGAATTTTTGAACTAGAAATTATTGAACCAAGTTCAATTATAAATAAAAAAGGTATACTTGTTACAAATCGATAAACTCAACCGTTCTCGAGATACGGACATTTTAAGTTTTTGACATTCGGAGGGAATTAAATTAAAAAAATTTGTTTTCCAAAGTAGTAGGCATTGACATAATATATTGACAGCACATTATACCCGAGAAGTAAGAGAATATACAAATACAAATTTCCCGCACCGTTGGATTGGACGCGGTAGCGACGTACTACCTAGGCCTGCACGTAGACCTGATTTAAATCCGCTGGATTTTTCTTTTGGAGCTATCTTAAATCTCTAATTTACAAAGACATTATTAATAATCAAGAACAACTGTGGACAAATATTCAAGAATCAGTTAATGTTATCAATCAACATAGAACTTTATTTAACATTTAGACAAAATTTAAATAAGTCCATTGAAGTCGGTGGTGGCTGCTTTGACAATTTTTTATGATTGTTAAGATATGCATAACAAAATTTTCAGTTGCTGTAATATTTGTCTTAATTCTTAATTCAGGTTTGGTATCTTATGACCTGCTAATTTTCTAATATAATTCATGCTGAATTCAAAAACTTAAAACGTCTGTATCTTGAAAACATATGAGTTCATCGATTTCTAACAGGTATACCTTTTTTTAGAATTGAACGTAGTTCAATAATTTCTAGTTAAAAAAATCAAAATTGTAAAATACAAAAAGTTAAACATATTTTTACATTGATAGGACAGTATAACTAGTGCCCCTAGACATGACCCCAACACTGTTTGCATAATTACATTTGCCACCTCAACAAACGTAAAACTACAAATTTTCAAAACAATCGGTCCATACATACTTAAAATACACCAAAAAATCGAAAATATTTTTTCAACTTTAACACCCTGTAGAACGAAAAGGAGCAACAATTGACTAAGACATGTTTGGCTCAATCCCTATATTTTGACGTTAACAATCTGCCAGTAAGCTGTGTACCATTATTAAAGACTCACCCTGTATATTTTTTTCAATTGAAATGGACGTAAAATTAACAGAGTTACATAACCTCAAAGTCATTATTATTTTTACATTATTTCTTTTTCAAATAAAACATTTACAAATTAAAATGGAAAGTGTGATACTTGTACCATTTGGGCACCTATGCTAACTTATTTCATTCACTATTCCAATCCTTGCAAAATACCATGGAAATTATGATACAATTGGTCAAATAAAAACAACAAGTATACAGGGTCGGAAAGTCCCCATGGTTCATCGGCCATTACGTGAGAGTGATAAAGTAAGTGATAGAAATCCGTGCGCTAGAGAAAGATGGCTATAATGAAGGCGTCTAATAGTCACCGCCCATTTCGCCCTTCCACAAATAAGAAGTGGATCTTATTTGTGGAAGGGCGAAATGGGCGGTGACTATTAGACGCCTTCATTATAGCCATCTTTCTCTATCGCACAGATTTCTATGACTTCCTTTATCGCTCTCACGTAACGGCCGATGCATATTTTGCTTAGTGATGGCAGAACTCAAATGAAAAATTGAGTACTACCCTATTCTTAAAAGTACTGGCTGTTCTCGTATACTTGCTGAAAGTACTCGAATACTTTTAGTTCTCGACACGTAGCAAATATCATGCAAGATGAGTTCTTGAGTGCGGGAAATATTAACCACTCTCTTATAAATAGTGATGGGAGATCTTGAATGAAAAATCGAGTGGTATTTCATTCTTAAAAGTTCTAGACGGAGAGCCAGAGGCAAAAAAATTGTTTGACTTTACGAAGGCTAGTTTTTTGGACAGTTGATTACAGTAGTTGCGTACACATACATACTATGGTCAGTGAAACGAACTGGAGAAATGGTGTTTCAGATACACTATCAAAGTTGTCGTACCTATAGGTAATAAAATGAATTTACTAAAGCTGAAAATCGTTATACAAATTCTATATTGCATATAATTAAAAGTTATGTCAGTCAGTCAGCTGAATGTGGGGAGAGAGCTGGTCAGTCAACTTTGATAGTGTACCTGAGACACTTGTTCTCAGTTTCGCTTGACTGACCACAGTATGTTTGTGTACACAATTACTGTAATCAACTATCAAAAAACTAGACTTAGTAAATTGAAACAATTTTTTTGCCTCTGCACTTTCGACTATTCTCGTTGTTCTTGAATACTTGCTGAATGTACCCAAATACTTTTAGTCTTCATAGTTGCCAGGCTACCTGACAAAATATCAGACGAGATGTGAGTTTTCGAATGCGGGAAATATGAATTTAAATCAACTACTGATTTAGCATTAAATGAATCAGAAGAATTTGAATACCTTTCGTTCTCGGTGGTTATCAAATAGCATTCACTTAAACAAACACATGACTCGTAAACAGAAAGAATTTCAAATATTCATATTATATGTACGAACATATTGCTTATGATTTTAAAAATATTTATTAGTACGAAAAGAACATATTTATTGAAATTTTTTTGAAAATGTATTTAAGAACAACAAATTTAAAAAATTCTACAAAAATCTTATATAATAAAACTGCAAATGTAGACCACTCCCCTCGCAATTATAACGTTCATCATTCAATAAATACTGAACAATTTCCAAATAAGTTCGATTTTTATCGTTAATGTCTAACTACTATATACCTATATATTTTTTTTCTCCTTAAAATCGAGTCGTTGACAAATATTAGATAAATGACTGAATTCTGAGTTGTTCATCGAGAATCGAGCAATTATTTATTTTTTTATTTAATTATGGTCATATATCCTCTGTTTTACTTTAACTCATTATTTGAAAGCATAATTGTAATATATCAAATTTTCAACCACTTTATTCACATTTCTTAATTTCTTTATGATTTTCAATCAAGTGGTCAAAAAATAGTCTTTCGACCATCAAATTTTATATAGGATTTGAGTTTATTTAGTAAGCATTTTTTTCCTTAATCTTCTGAAATATGTTCCAAAAACTCTAACCAAATTAATGTTATAAAAGACAAACAAAATGACGTTTATTTCTGTATTCTGAAGATATTCTCCAAAAAATCCCTTTTCTACTTTGTTGTCAGTTTTGTAATTCTGTGTTCAACATTTAATTCAGATGTGCTTTTATCTTTTAAAATTAAATATTTATTGTCAAAGTCAAGCAGCTGTTGATTGAAAACAACTAAAAATGAGTTTTCAATTATTTTTTCTTCAAAAATTATTTCCAGAATAACCATTTATCAGATTCGAAGCAAGTTGATGCCAAACCAAAAAATTATTGATTATTACCTATTACCTATGATTATTACCTAAACTCAAAAAATCTACCAAATGGTTAAAGACCGGCACAGTGACCCTACCATAAAAACAATTTGTAATTATTCTAAATTTATACTAACCTCCATAGGGGGCTGGATACATTGGATAACCAAGACCCACATGGGTGTGATGGTGAGTATGGACGTGCCGCTGTGGAGGTGGAGATCGAGTTTCTTTATTCTCTCCAGGTGTCTGTTTCCCACTAGAAGGAGTTGTATTAGTGGGCTGGGAAGTTGGAGGGGCACTCATTTGCGCTGAGGCCTGTACCGGAGGGGGCCCACTGTTATTTGTTGAGGGACTTGAACTGGCCATCGAGGTCTTTGGGGTAGGGGATTTTATTGCTCTCTCTTGGAGTTCATGAATTTTATGCGAGGAATAGTACTGAGCGTGGTGCTGCAGCATATCTAATGCCTTTGTCGGAGGGGGAGCCCTCGATAAATCTTCTGGTGCATGGTACCTTTGAATGGGTGCATGTAAATAAGGACTACCACTGTAAGGACCTGGTACCATGATGCCCCTATACATAGGGTGGTTAGGGTCGAAAGGGAGAGCACCGTAATGTGCTTGTTGCATATAGCTGGGATGAATGTAAGCGTACTGGGATGTAGGAGGTGGCGGTGGACCTTGAGTTTCCATGGTTGGTTTCACTCCCTCCTGCTTCACTTCTTTCTCTTTCTTCTCTTCCATTTTTATTTCCTTGGCTTTCAGATTTGGACTTTGTGGAAGAGGGATTTTGTTTGACGTTGAACTGCTTTTATGTTCTTGTATAGGCTGCTGCTCCTTTCGCCTCTGTTCTGAATAAACGTAGTACCTTCGTACGTCTTCTTCTCTCTGGTTATGGTGTTGCTGCTGTTGAGGCTGCTGTTGCTGTTGTTGGGGCTGTCGAGAATACATATACGAATTCATTTGATTTTTCATTTCTATACTCTCCTTCAGAATCAGATGGTTCTCATTCTGATGTTTATCTTTGAGGCTTGATTCAGCTTTTACCTTCCCAGGTGTTGGTACTTGAATTGGATTAGGTATAGGTGTCGGCTGCTTCACAGCTTGCTCAATGGGACTGGGATTTTCCTTCACTCTCTCTTCCTTCATCTTGTCTTCTTGGACCAAAGGTACACCTCCATAGTTGGAGTCCATATTGTATGGGTATCCTGGCATATAACCGTAAGGGTAATAATGTTGTTGTAAAACTTTTTGGGGGTATTCAGATCCATCTTTCTTACCATCTTTCTCTATTACTTTCTCACTTTGTTTCTCAGGCTCCTTTGGCTTATTTTCCTGCTGAGACTGCTGCTGCACTGATGGAACGAGGTACTGGTGCGGCGGCTGGCTATAGAAAGGATACATACCATACTGCGACATATGTGGCAAGGTCTGTCCTGATTCAGTCTTTTTATCGGAATTTTTGTTTTTATCGTTTACTTCGGCATCCATTACCGGAGCACCATCATCTGAAATATCAGAGTAAGCAGGACTTTGCACTTCATCTCGCCCAGGCTGTTCAATTCCGAACATTGGTTGTTCCTGTTGGGGCGGATGTGGACTGCCAGCTGGAGACTTCCTGTTCTTCTTCTTGTTAAAAGTCTGCGCTTTGATGCTATTGCTACTGTTTTGCTGTTGCTTCTTGTCATCAGGCATAAGAGCGGAGGCAGGCTTCACTTTGAACTGTGTTATTTTTGAGGCAGGATTGGGGGACTGTGGGGGGTGTGGAGACATCTGTGACTGCATCTGGGGGTGGCTTGGATTATTCTGGTTGGGGATAATGATGGTTGGAGGCTGAGTGAACTGCTGGGAGGGCATGTTCACTTGAGATTGCAATTGGCTGGAGAAAGACTGTGGCTGAGCATTGATTTCAGTCTGTGTGTTTGCCTGATCAGCAGAAGGTATTGCAACAGGAGCAGTACGCCCTGCTGGAAGTGGACCTGAATTTGTCAATGGTGTTCCTGGAATGACAACTGTGTGAGTACCACAACAACCAACACAATTCATGCATGATTGTGTTTATGTTATGGTTAAACTAAAAGTTAGCACATCTCTTACCTATAACTAAAAATATGAAGAGTTGATATGCCTCATTTGTTGCATTTAATACAAATTCCTACTGTCATTAATTTCAAGTTTAAACATTTTCAGCATAGACTCTTTCACAAAAAAGAAAATAAAATATGAATATAACTGTCATGGAAATAGAAAAGTCCCTCTCCTTTAAGACACTAAAACTATTTGCGTTATAACCTATATAGCTGTATTTTTTTCCAATCGCGACTTTATTGATGTTCTAAAAACAATCCTGTAATTTTGTTTGCAAAATTAATGTTATAACTATGTAAATATTTCTTTGGCATTTAATGAAAAAATTGGTTTTATATAATTGTTAATAAACTGTTTTTATAATTAATAAAATTTAAGTTGGTTATCAAAATATAGACGGTGTATGCTTGTCCAAAACTGTAACGGTAAATTGTATGTCACAAATTATCTAAAAATTTTGCTATAAACGTGTCCAGAAATACATCGTTTTTTAAATTATCAGAAAATGGAAAACATATGCAGCCAGTGACGACTAGTGAAAATTGAACTGGTCATATTTTTATAAAGCATACCACCTTTTAAGAGATATTTCTAGGCACACGAAGTGAATTTTTATGATAAAAAATGTATGAAACAAAAAATTAAAAATATAGTTGTAGGTATATGTGCAAAATATATATCTTTTTTATAATCAACTGTTACGTCATGAAATTTGAAAAATAGAATGTTAGCATCAAATTAAAATTGACATAAGGTACAAAGAAAATTTAATTTCGTAAAAAATTTTTAAAAAACACTAGATAATTGTATATCAGTTGATTAATAAAAAAAAAATTAAAATAAAAATTCTGTACATCTACGTAAAACCCTCTTTGAGATTCTAGGGATGGCTCGGCTCTTATTTATAATATATTATTTCGCAAAGGAGGAGGCCCACTAAGGCCGGTTTTTGGCCTAATTTATTTTTGGCTGAAAAAATCTGAAAAAATTTTTTTTTACTTACTAGCAATACTGAATCGTTTCCACCCTAAACGGACCAACCCCCTCACCTTCCCTTCCTCCTCCACCCCCTTAAATGCCGCGAAAACCATCGCTTACTAGAGGAACCTTTAAAGAACGTAGAGATACGAAAGACATTCAATTCCTATGAATCTTACATATGAAGAGTTTTTTGGGTGGCTGATCACGAATCTGGTCTCAGAATCACGAAATTCAAAATGACGAATCCAATATGGCGGACAAGAAAATTAAAATGTCTTCAAAATGCATGAATTTTTTTGTAATGGGGTTTTTTGTGTCTATGATTACGAATCTGAAGGCAGAATTACAAAATTCAAAATGATGTATTCCATATGGCGGATAAAAAAAAATTAAAAAGATCTTCAAAATCCTCAAATATTTGTTTATGGAAACTTTCTTGGATCACTGATTACAATTATGAATTAAGAATCACGAAATTTAAAGAGGCTAATCAAATATGCACAAACATGTATGTATAATTATTGATTTTTTTCTTTTTCCTTTTATTTAATGTAAATGTGTCATCTCATTTAAGGGGGTGTAGGGGGAAAGGAGGGGTGAGGGGGTTGGTCCGTTTAGGGTGGAAACGATTCAGTATTGCTAGTAGGTACTAAAAAAAATTTATTCAGATTTTTTCAGCCAAAAGTATTAGATAAATATTTTAAACAATCCATTGAAAGAAAAAAGTAATTAGTCTGTTCAAAAAATCACATGTATGAACAGTATGAACAAAATAATATATTAGTTTTTTGGAATTTGAAATAAGCCCATATTTTTTATTAATTTTGGAAATCTTGTTATTCCAGACACATGTTTACAGAACTGTTTTATCTATTTGAGACAAAAAATGACACTGTTAAAAATTGGTCAATTTCTGCCCTATTCGGGAACTTTCTGTAGCTTTCTTAAATTATTCCAATAGGTTTGTATTTTATAGAAATACACTTCTAATGCTGTCATTCTGCAGTTAAAATCGTAAGATCGGGTAAAAGTTGTTCAGCCTCTACATAGATTCTTAAAAATCGATCCATGTTCAACCAATTCCGGAACTTATTGTAGCGATGATAAATAATTCCAGTAGGATTGTATTTGATACAAATACAAGTATGAAGCCGGCATATTCTCAAAGAAAATGTTCCAGTTATCAATACATGCGTAGTAGCGTATGAAACTTGTTTACCTCGGAAGGATATACTCTTTTAGCAATATTAATAAAAAGTCGACACGCAAAATGAAAAAAAAACTCGAAATAATTAAATGAAAGAAGACTCTATTTCCTGCACGAAAAAGGACAATTTCTTGTTAAGAAGGAAAAGAAGGAGACATAAAGTCTAGAGCCCAATGCATGGGGGGTCAAATGTAACGTACCTAGGAATATTTATGAATATTACTAGTATACATAGACAAAAAATAGAACGTATATACAGGGTGTTCCGAAATTATTGCAACAAGATTCTTAAGACAAATTTAGGAGACCCGTATTTTTTCATTTTGCCAAGTGGCCCCCTCTTTCGGAGTTACAGCCCTCTGAAATCCGTCCCTAAGAATAATCTTTTTTTTATATCTCAGTACCCTGTTGTATGAGAATCACTAAATTTGGTACACAGGGGTTTTATGACATGTGGGGTCTGATAGTGCTACGCTTTTTGATGAGAAACCCCCTTAAGACACTTTTTCGTGGGCCCCCTTGTCTTTGGAATCAAAAAAATTTGGTAGCAAATTTGAATTTCTTTAAAATTATTAGTTAGCTAGAAAGCCATTGAATTTAGAAACTTTTTTGTCTCTTGATACTTTTTTCATAAAACGCAATGTTTTCGAGAAAAATGTCAAAATGTGATCGAATGCATATTGTGATTCGTCATTTTCCTCAAAAACATTGGTTTTACGAAAAAAATATCTAGGGACAAAAAAGTTTGTAATTTCAATGGCTTTCTAACTAAATAATAATTTTTTAAAAATTCAATTTTTCAAGCAAATTTTTTTGGTTCCAAAAGGGGCCCACGAAAAAGTGTCTTACGGGGGTTTCTCGCCAAAAAGTGTAGCACCATCAGATTTCACATGTCATAAAACCCCTGTGGACCAAATTTAGTGATTTTCGTACAACAGGATTCTGAGATATAAAAAAGACTTCTTAGGGGCAGATTTCAGGGGGCTGCAACTCTGAAAGAGGGGGGCACTTGGCAAAAAGAAAAAATACGAGTCCTAAATTTGTCTTAAGAATCTATGACCAAATTTTGTTGCATAATTTCGGGACACCCTGTGTAATAAGGTATTAAGTTAATTGCATTTTTGGTGATTACTGTGTATGTAAGGTCAGAAAACAAGTGGTCGGTTACTGTTCTCATGTAATAGTGCTTTTATGATTTTTTGGATATGCACGTTATCTAGACTCCAATTCAATAACCCCAGATCATTGTGATATCCTTGAGATAGTGAGTGATAACGAGAGCAGCAATGAAGATCAAGATAATGACTCAGAATAGTGTGCGTGGATAAGTCTGAATCGATGTTTCACTCTTGAACTTTCTCAGTGATTCCGACCAAAAGGTATAATAGGAAGTGAATACTGGAACATTTCTTTCGGGAAAATGCCGGCTTGATACATGTATTTGCATCAAATACAAGCCTACTGGAGTCATTTAACATAGCTACAAAAAGTTCCAGAGTTGGTTGAATATGGATCGATGTTAAAGAATCTATGTAGAAGCTGACCAAGTTTTACCGGATCTATTGCCATTTGAACGATTTTAACCGCAGAATGACAACCTTAGAAGTGTATTTCTATCAAATACAAGCTTACAGGAATCATTTAAGATAGCTACAGAAAGTTCCAGTGGGGCAGAAATTGACCAATTTTTAACATTGTCCATTGCATTAAACTTTAGCCAAACATTTCAGTTACACTACGTATGCGTGTAATAACTATGAAATATTAAGGAACTACTTAATTTCAATGACAGATTTTAAAAGAAATAGAAATAAGCACCAGCCTTAACATTATAAGAAACAACTAACGAATTAAGTTTATTTTCTAAAAAAAATTACCTGTGAGAAAAAGAAAACCTAGATAAAAATATGTGCATACATGAGATGAATTTATAAAAGTGAGAATAACCACATCTGCATACCTTGAACCTGAGGTTTGCTTCCTGAAAATACACCGACCGAGTACTCTTCAGGGGTTGTATATCGAAGAACACCAGGCTTGACAACATTCTTGGAGTCGACTATAGGCACAGTAGGTGAGCTGGCTACTGGAGGTAATTCCTGTATACTTTGGGGAGTAGCAGGAGAGGGAGGTGTACTGCGAGGAGTGGCCGGCTGACTTGGAACGTCTAACAAGTTTGAGCCACGTAACAACAGTGGAAGTTCAGTCTCCTTCTTTTGTGGTGTCATCGGACTGTCCTGGCTCTTGTCAGGTGATTTAATAGGGGTAGCAGGACTAGGAGCTTCGATATTAGACTCGTCATTCTCTGACATCGACGTAACGTCTTTTGTATCATCGTCGTCTGCTGAACCGTGAGCATGCGACTGATGATATTTTAGACCATTGATATGTTTGTACTTTTTAGAACAATTAGGCTCCGGGCACTCCAGCAGTATGGGGGAGGGGGGAGGACTTCCGCAAGGGGTAGTAGTCGTTGGAACAGGGAGGGAAGGGGGAGGAATGACGACTTTTGTTTTCTTTCCGGGAACACTGGTGGCCTGGGAGGGTTCCTCTTCCCCTCGGTTTTTTCTCTTGTTGCTGGGCTCTGGTCTGGGAGGCACGAAAGGTGTCGGAGACGACGGGGCGGTGGATGGTCCTGATCCATTGGCGGCTCCTCGGCGGCCCTTCACTCCTGCCCCTCCATTCCTTAATTTGCTGTGCACCGATGACCGGGTCTCTGTGAAGTTGCTAAGATCAGTACTAGGTGTTGCAGCAGCTGCCGAACGCCCTCTCTTACCTCTACCTTTTGGTGTACGATTATCCAGGTCACTTGTGGGTGAATCACAGAATCTGAAAAAACGTTGACTTCATGTAAAATTTTTGTAAAATCATTTCATTTATTAAAAACGTTCACTGAAGATTTCACCTATTAAAATATATAAGTACTCACCGAGGTGGGGCCCAGTCATGTTTTGTGCAGTCCAGTAGGGTCCCAACATATGTCTTCCCTCTCCATGTCACATTAACCACCAAAACTCCTGCAAAAAAAATTATAAAGTTTAAGTTACACAGCCATAGCACAACTGTTTACAATAACAATGACCAAAGGGATTACAAAAAAAATTAATGATCTAATAAAAAAAACCATCTTTATTTTGAACTAAAACAAATTTGCCTTTTTTTGAAAATATGTAGGTATTTTATTCTTGTTTTTCATATTTTAACTTTAACTTCTTTTGATGGGATTTTTAGAAAAATTTTTAAAAATTATTTGCATTAGCTTAATAAACCTTTAAAAGAAAGTAAAAATTACAACATTATTATATGTATTTTACTATTATTATATGATTATATGATAAATAAGCAATGAGTGACTGCTAATAGAAACAATTTTTGTCATCTCTGATCTGATTTGAGATTCTCTTTTAAAATTACTATAGAAATTGTAAATTTGTATGGTCATATGTTAGAAAAATGTACCTATTAAAATCCAAATAAACTATTATTTATTACCCATTTTGCTGTATTTATTTATAGTTTTGCTTACCTCCTTCAGTCTCGTGCCAGACTATGCCTTCAAGGGTCACGCTGGTACCAGGTTCACAAGGTCCTAAGCAGTCGGGTTCGGTTATAGTTCCAACACTGGTACCCACACAGGCATCTGATAACTCCTGAAACAAAAAAAAGTGCTACAGTTGTTGTACAAGCTTTTCAGCCTGTAAGAAAATAAATAATAGATCAGATTCTTAGCCATAGTAGCAGAAATGGGCCAACAAAATTGGGATTACATGGTATATTTTGATTATATGGTATATTATGGTATATTTTACGTGCAAATAGTGAATGAATAACATCAGTTGATAGAGAATCATTTTTTAATAAGAAAAGTTCCTATAAACATAGGTCTTAAAACGCTTCGTTTGTGAGATATAGGGATATAAGACCAACAGATATTAAACTGAAATTTGGCACGAAAAAACAAACACAGAACTTAAAAAATGAACTAATTGACACACACGTTACACAATGTTTGCGTTATTATGTCAACGTTATGACATTTAATCGTTTTTGTTGATTTTCAGGGTACATCATATTTTTCTTATTACAAATGTATTACCAATATCGTTGGAACAGTTTCATGCCAAATGAATTTAACCAAAAAACCTTCATTTTATAAAAAATTGAAAGATCTGTTTTGTTCAGAATTGATTAAAAAATTTAGAAAAGATGTTATTTTTCACAAAAATCCACGGGCGTACGAATTATTTTTTTAAAAGGGGCAGTAACCCACCTCAGGCACGTCACTGGTGTGTGAAATGGATAACAGATATCTTTGTTTTATTCACCATAACTAATGTGTTATTAATACCAAATTTCAGTTCAATATATGTTGGTCTTTTAGAGATATTAAGAAAAATTCTTAAAAAAAGTTTGTTTTCAACACCCTATATCTCACAAACGAAGCGTTCTAAGACCTACGTTTATAGGAACTTTTCTTATTAAAAAATGATTCTCTATCAACTGTTAAAATCCTACTACAAAAAACTGACTCACCCAAGTAGTTAGATATCTAACTACCTAAAGAAAACAAACACTAAACAAAAATGCGACTATGAAGTTTTAAATGATTCACAATAAGAAAAAAACAAACAATGTATATTTAGCAACGTAAATTGATTTATTTCTTCTTTATTATATCCTATATTTTGACTGTTCTGTATTCAGCACATATTTAGGATACAAAGAAGCTACTCGAAATTGTTTTTTCCCTCTTAATGAAATTCAAGCAAAATTTTTTATTTGATATAATTATTTTCTTCCCCATAACTCAACAATATATTATAATTACTTACGAACCTAATGGATTGACCGAAAATATTGAAATCCGAAGATTCAATGTATACAAATTTTTCAAAAACCTTAACAATCTGTATTTTGAAAACTAGACCATTTAGGAGATAAAATCTTTTTTCCTAAAATCGATTTAAAAATCACCATCACTATTACCGAAGCCACCCTGTATAAGTAATATTATCGCAGAATCTGGTATATTTCAGTTACCTATTCATAGTCATATATATTGCACAGATTTATACACGAATGCCTTTCAATCTTAGTGCCTGATTGTGATTAAGCATTTCAGACCTCAATGGGAAGTCACGCTATTTTGAGCACGTACAAGTGCAGTTTCACATGCAAAGCTAAACAAGTATGCACCGCAGCTGTTGTGGCATTCATGACGAAGCACCTTATTAACGAAGATATTGCCGAGGAACGTTAGATAAGTTAAGAGCTACAAATCACTGCACTTAAAACAAATGGGTCATTCCCAAGAAAATAATTTATAATATACATATTTATCGCTGTACCCCGACAAAGATAAATTTAAAAAGGGAACATAGCGACTAAGGCCTCATATTTTAAACTTTTAAATGCCCGAGTTGTCATCACGTCATTTAATGATCACAGCAGAGACCTACCCAGTACTGACAGAAGTCATCTTGTTTGTGCCAGAAACTTTCGTCAGTATGTGCATATTTCTGGCATATTTTGAAAAGACGTACTGACATACTTTTAAACTTAGATCAGTAAATCATTATCCCTACATTATATAGGGTGTTACAAAAAAAACATGAAACTTAGTTAATCAAGTTTTAATTTATAAAATTTTATACAACAATATTTACAATAATTTTTGTTTATCCACATTAATATTAAATGCACAGTTTGAACCAGTATTAAAATTAAATAAACCACTGAAGCTGCCACTACCCTCATTCTTGGAACAATTCTCAAAGCAGTCCAACACGTTTTCATTAATAGATACCTACATTATTTTAAGATGTCGTGAAATCAGAAGTGACAATGGTGCTTGGTTTATCAACAAATTTCAGTATTCTTTTCGCAATATTTTCTTTATTCAAAAGTGAGTCTTCAATGTAGCCTTCCACCCAGTGGTCGATCTTCATCCTCTGTGTCTTTTAAGGCAGGTAAGGTCACCACCGCCGTCAACTAAAAGAGTAGCTGTACTCTTTCCAGTTGTCCAGATTCAAAAATTCTGCCACTTCTTGCGTGACAGCACTGATTTTATGAATATCGACCACCATTTGATGACACTTTCCAGTTTCCACTAACACATCTGAGAAATAATCGACGTTCTATAGTTTTTCCGAAGTCAAGGTATGTACCAGGCTCGGTCGCTACGCAGCAACTCGGCATTGAAATACATATTTGAAAAACTTGTTCCCATATTTATTTAGCCATACCCATAAACAGGTCTGGTCGAACTAAACGTGGAGGTGATAGAAATGTATACACTCAGTTGAAGAATGCGAGCGCGAACAAAGGAAAACGACCACAGTTGTATAGGGCTACTGGGCAATAACTCACAGCAAATGACAAGTGGTTCATAAATTACCCGGCAGTGCAGTGCAGCAATAAGAATTTGGTGTAAATTAAGTAATTTTAATTTATTATAGGCACCTTCTATCAATCATTCATATTACAATTGCAAAAGGGAGAAATAAGAGGGATATTTTGTTTACTAATATTATTACAACATTGTATTTTGGAGACCTTTTGAAACGGAACAAAACGAAATTTACCACCAATATAATAAAATTGTTTGAGGACAAAAATAATTAAAATATGTTGTTGGCCAAATGAACATATAATAGAAATTTTCTACACATTATATACAAATTATTATAATTTTTTACCTTTAGCAGAAAATTTTTTTAGGGACGCCTATAAAACTCATTAAATTTTATTACCAGACGTTTTTTTTGTATATTCAACTGACTTCGAAAATACTATACCAATCCGGGTGAACGTAAAACAACATATTTTCGATAAAAACTTAAATAACTGTCTCTCAGCACAGTAAAAGAACGCCGTGGTCTCTTGGTTTTGGTATAAAGAATTTTTGTAATTAAGGCGGATTTCACACAACATTATCAAATGTTAAATTGACTAATTCATCAGAACGGCATTCGCCTGCAACCTACAATATTAGGAAGACCTATAAAGAAGCTTTTTAAAAATGTTGTTCTTTTATTTTTAAAGCGTTTACCTTCATCATCAAATATAAATTATCAGATGCACTATTCAAAAAGCAATCAACTTGCTTCTTTGTAAATATTCGCGATTTTTTTGGTGCATATTCCTCATTTGGTCTCTTGAGAAAAGCACGTAACTTTGGATATTTGCTTATATCAATCCGCTTCTTTATATCCAACGTTGACCCCAACATTGAATATTGTGACCAAAGCTTTTACGGATTCATTTTATTTGCTAAGTTTGAGAAACACACCATCAATACATCTTCTGAATGTACTTTTATGTTTTTTTTCTTTGCACCAATCCATATAACGTTGGTAGACACATTCATAAATTTCTGGAGATTTCTTTGGGAGAAGAAACCTCTTTCGCACACTCCAGTATTTTTTCGGGTACACCTAAATCTTCATTAGATTCCATTTTTACATTTTTCAGCAAATTGAACCAAAAACAATCACAAATAAACCATAGACAAAAAATAAACGCAATTAGCAATTGGCGGCTAAATGTTTGACAAAGTGTCCCTAACTACCATCGATATATTACCCACTTTGTTAATTACTTAAATGGGGAATTTGGGTTGGAGAAAAAATGGCATGTTTTATTCGGATTAAAAGTGTCTTTTTTGTATAGTAATTTTGCATCCGCTTGGCTACGCTACGCTTCGCCTCGCAAATACAAAATTTGCTCGCCACAAAAGTAACACTTTTAATCCTAATATAACAATATACTATTGCCTTCAGTGGCGGTTTTATCATAAGAGCTGAGGAGCTGCATGTATTTAATCATATTAAATATCAACAAAATATTTAAAGAATTCAAATGTACTCGCGCTAAAATAAATCTGGGAGCTTATATTATTATTTATTACGACGCGAGCTACGCCCCTTAATATATGCAACCTCATATACAAAATGTGTTCACAGCGAACAGTTAGATGCGTCCATTGTTTTTATTGGTTAATCAGCACATGACCCAGTACACGCGTATATGGAGTTATGTGGCTGTAACAACGACAGCCACAGCTGCAGTAAATGCAGTAATATTTCTTCTATTATCTATGGCCTATGGTAATATTTCGTTCGTGGTATGTGGTGGTTTATTTCTGCGAGCGGCACGTGTGAATGTTTTCGTTTAGGCGTCTACGGATATTATAGTTATTAAAATGAATAGTGTTTCGTTTTTACAAAAACTTTATTTGTTTCCTGCCTTATGAGGATAAACTAAAAATAAAAGAATTAGGTGGGCCAACACCACAATTAAATATTGAAGTTAGTGGAACAAGCCGAAGTAAAAATTATAAGACAATTTAACAATAATGTATACACAAAAGCAGAGTGGGTGTGCGGGTGTGATATCAAAAATACACGTTTTGTTTTTCGTGCTTACTTTTCGATGGGGATAAAGCATGGACAATATACAGTGTGACAGATTTAAGTCATTTAAGTCATTAAGTAAAATAAACAAGAAGTCAGTTAGATTCTGGCTATTGGGATAATATACGGAAACACAATGAACAGGTAACGAAAAATCGTTATGAATTACCTAAAATCATAGATTGCAAAAAATTTTGCGGAGCTTTTGAATTAGCACTTCGCGGAAACGACGAGAC